ACAGCTGGTTGCTGGAAATTCACAGCCAGTTACCACGAAATCTACTTCAGACTAGATACACAACAATGTCACATTCAGCATCGCGGGCGCCGCCAATCATCCCGCTCCCCAGCGACATGCCGAATTTACACCAGCGTGCTTTCCTTCCCGCAATGGCACGGACTCACGCAAACGCACTTGCCACCATAGCCGCGCGAAACCACATGGCACAGCAACATCACAGACAGAATTTGGCCACACAATGCGCAACAGAATAGATACGCACAATGTATCATTGTGTGCGCCGCCAGTCCCGCTCCCCACCGACATGCCGAATCTATACCTCCACCTCTGTCTTCGACGACAGTTGCACACTTCGGCGACCAAACTTGCACTTCACCACACGTTTGAGCACTCGACACGCGCGATCTCCGCAGAGGGTTCACCGTGGTAATGCAAAATTTGCACTTCACCACACGTTACGTTTGAGCACTCGACCGCACGATCTCCGCAGAAGGTCACGCTTCGCAAGCCCTGTCCGGCCAGGCCCCCGGCTAAGAAAGACGAGATAAATAGCCGAGATTTATCACGCACGCATGAACAAACATATGTTTTACTCCATGTTATAACATATGCTTTTTGCATATGTCGTCTACCGAAGCAAGACCCCAGCAAAAGTTATGCTTGTTGTTGCGCATGATTTTGCATAAGCAAGACCCCGCCGAAAGCTTTACTTGACTTTGCTTGTGACTTAACTTGGCCAACCAACATCCCAGCAAAAATCCACCAAAGCAACTCACCAAAGCAAAATCCCAGCACCAAAGCAACTCACCTAATAAGATCCCAGCACCAAAGCAGCGCGAGCGTTGCAGCAGCTCTACACAACCATACCCGCAAGCTGCAGATGTACTTCTAGCATACCTATTGTAGCATATATACATACAACTGCAACTGTATAAGTTGCCAATATCTTACCAGCTCCCTAGCAGCAGGTCTCAAGACCACGCATGCAAGACAGATGTAGCTTATAGCATACTTAGCATACATACCAATGCAGCTGTGAACACACCATAAAGATATTAATGCAGATGCGTTATGCGAAGATTTAAAAGATTTCTACAGGCGAACCCTTCGCAACGCCCCGGGAACAAGTCCAAATGGGTGACCTGATGCACTTCTCCGGATGTTGACCAAGTATTGCAAGAGGGGTCATGTTACTCTTTTGATTCTCTGTCACTGGCTCCATGAAGGAAGTACTGGTCTGATCACAGCTCGGCTATATACTGTAGATCAAAGAAACATTGACTTGCACTTGTACCCATTGACAAAAAGGGCAAAGGTTTGTCCGACGCCATTCCCTTCTCCATCAGCATTTTGTCGAGCATCCTCCACAGCCTCCCATACCTCCTGCGGCCAAGCAATATGTATATATCACATGTGTGTGTATATATATATATGTGTGTTGTTAAAACTTATTAATCTATCTATGTGTTTGTTTGTTATGCCAGCGTAGACCCCAAACAGGAAAGAGAAGCTGCGGAACAAAACCGACCCTATTTGTTTGGCAGGCGTCACAAAGGTCTAAGGTCAGTCTAGCTAGCCTCTTGTGCGGAAGGAACAAACCGAGATGGCCGAAGACAGCCAGCAACTAAAAACAGCCAATAACACACGGACAAGCGAAAAAGAAACCTACGACCAGCAAAATGCACCTGCTCAAAGCAGTACAAATTTTCACAGGTAAGCGGTTTTGGGAAAAAAAACTATAAAAACAGAAGAACGAGTAGAAAACAAATATATAACTCAAGAAACAACCAAGGACTAGAATTAGTAAAACAACACAAGGCAAAGAGCCAAGGAAGAGGAAATAGAACCAGCTGCAACATCTACAGTAAATGTGTTCAGAGTAAGAGTCCAGCATCTGGCCAATCAAGTCCGCTGGAAGAGTGCTAGGGAGAAGGCGGGGGAAGTGCCAAGAGAGCGGGGGTGAAGGCCCCTCTGGTCGACTACTATTGGTGTCCTATATAGAAGTGTTTTCTATTTTGTCTATGTTGTTTGTTTCTTGTACAGTATGTGCTTTGTATTGATTTGTTAGTGTAGAGGTGTTTGAAGGTTTGCAATGTTTCCCAAATTGGTTCAGCCTTGGTACTGCAACCCTTATTTGGAACACACTCACTGGCATGTTGCTTTCTGTTCCTTGTCTTCTTCTTCCAAGTATCTATGTTTTTCCCAAAGTTTGTGCAGTTTGGTGTCTAATGTTCTTATTTTCGGTTGGTTGTCTAGTTATTTCGTTAGTTTGAATCACACCCAGTGGAGAGTAGTCAAAGACCTGGTGGTGGGCAAAGGCGACCGGCCTGTCACGCCCGGCATGGCTGCTCCATTGGAACCAAATGCGGCACCTGAATCAAAAATAGTCAAAGTGGGGCACAAAAGCACTTTGCTCAATCAAGATTCGGGTGTTCAGAGCCTTGGCCACCACAGGAACCAGAGCCCCCCTGGACTACGCAAATCGAGTCTGCAAATGCTTTCAAAAGAAGGCGTAGAGGGCCAGACCAACCCGCCAAAGGGATCAAAGCTTGGAGTGGGTTGTGGAGTCGGCATTGACATCGAATTTCCAGACCTCAAACCCAGCTGTCTGACCAACAACAAGCAAACATTGAAGCTGAGGTTTCTGCGTGGCAAATGGATCGAAACCATTGCCCAAACCTGATGAGGGCACCTGCGGACACACATGGAGGTTTCACGCTTTGAAGTTGCTGGGCTTCATGCAAACTGCTGATTCCAATTAGCTTCGTGCTGATGGAGTGGGTTTGTCAAACCCAGAAATGCCCATAGATGTAAGATCGTTGGCCTGGTGGCAACAATGTCTTCTGTGCAATGTTGTCTTCAATGAGCGTTTTACATGTTGCCCACTCCGAGCACAATGCAGGCGGAGGAGGAGCCGGGGCAACAGGAGCTGCAGGTGCAGGCGAAGGAGCAGCCTTGCCCCAATTTTGCACTCAGACCATTTCTGGAAAATGAGAGATGAAAGGCGTGATTTTGTTGCATTCTTGGGTTGCGAACACATATATATAGAGAGAGAGAGAGGGAGAGAGAGAGAACGAGAATAGAGTCAATGTCCTTCACCAGAAACTCTTATCGGAGCCTGCCTTTGGAGGCCCTCCCATGAGAAGGGACTCAAAGTCCTGCGGCTCTGCCTGCAAGATTGGTTTGGATGGGAACATACTTCCCACGGACAGCTAGAGCCACACAGCACAAAACTCCAAAGACCATCTTTAATCTTTAATGCTACGCTCGGCGTTCAGGCTCCTGCCATGTCTGATCTTGGCTCCCAACCTTCGTTTGTTCTGGTGCTGGGGCAGGAGCCTCCCGAAAGGTAACGAATAAAAAATTGTTGGTTTTTACATTAATGTGCCCAATGGAAAAAATATTTGTATACTGGGACGCTCCTTCGCACCTAGCGCTTGCTCCGATTCAGCCTGGTCTGTTCGAATTCATGCTCGACTTGGCAATTCCCCTCCTGCAAAGAAAAGCTGAAGCCTGCCTGAAGATCTTTTCGTGCTTCGTATTCTTTCCTTCTGGCACTCTCCACCTTTGAGAAGGAGGCACTTTTTTCACTCTTGGATAAAGGATGTGCAGCGTGTTTGGGTTATTCCTGTGCCAAGGTGCACGTTGCATCAACTTCTTGGCCACAGACAATTGCGTCTCCCACCTAAAGCAATCCCCACGCCGTTGGTAGCAAAGGTCGGCAACGGCATGCCACATCAATATCATGTCAATCAACGGCTATTCCAATGGTATATAATAGCGATATGTTCTTATTGAGACATCCCCGTGTTGGTGGTTTGACTTTAGCTCCGCAGGTAACAAGAAACTATAGGGTTTCTGTGTGTGTTTTACAACCAGGGCCTGATCACAAATTCTTTGCCTGGAACTCTGAAGCCTTAGAGCCTTGGAATTCTGAAACGCTGTGACTCTGGACCCTAGCTCTCATCGCAACTTTTGGAAACTACTGGTGGCAAGTGCACGCCTGGAGCCCAGGAACTGTTTAACCCCGGAACTCTGGAGCCAGGATGCAAATTCATTCCTTGGGCTCCTTAAAGACTAATTGCTATACATATAATCAGTGTACTGTAAAACTTATAGAGGGACCTTTAGCACTGATGTCGACCCCCAAGATAAGGACAAAAGTTTAAAGCATTTCTTCGCATGATAGCTATCTTGAGTAAATATTCCTCCGGCGTACAAGTAGACCTCAAACAGGAAAAGCCAGCCGCGAAAGTCTCCCAGCACAAGCGGAGACAGCGGAAAACTCCGTGACCAGCAAAAGCACCCTTTAAAGGGAGTAGGGACCCCTTTCAAACAAGTTTAATCTGTTTCGGGAACAATGAAAAACAAAAGCACTCACACCTTGAATTGAAGTTAATGTGCATATCACTGGTGGTAGTAAATCATTAAGACAGTTCCCAGTTAAGGCTTTGTGCTTCTACTGTGTTTAGTTCCACCACTCCAGGGTTTAAACAATTTTACTAAATAAGTAAATAAACAAAATAAATTGAAACAAATTAACCCCCAAAGATCTTGAGATCTCAGATCATCCCACTGATTGTCGTGCAAACAACTCAATATGATATACAGTATGTATATAGATACGCATGTATATCCTTGTGTTTGTTTAATGTATTACTGTATTTCCACCTAGTGTCTCAAAACAGAAACGATCTTGATACATTGTCTGGATATCACCTCTTCGCCCACAACATATTTGTTTCATCTTCAATGCTGTCGCCGCCATAGTCCGAATTATTGTACTTATTTCTCTGCAAATGTGATTTGTTATATGTTTCACGTCCATCGAATTCATACGTTTGTACCATCCCCACTTTCTTTCTGTGTTCCTCAGTCTTCAACCTTTTGCATTCAACAATCGTATCAGGACTATTGAAACTAAACTACCAAATCAGCGCCCACTGACCCACAGACTTCATCAAGCACTACCACATAATCACATGTTTGTCCGGTCTGTCATCACCAAATGAAATACCAAAAAAAACATATATATATATATGTATATATATATATATGTGTGTACATGTTCTATCGCTTCATGGTCACCCATTCACAGCTACACAGCTGCTGTCCTATTGGTACGTACTGTTTGTATAATTTGATAGCTTCTCTCCTCTAAATGCTTGCAAATGAAACCCTCTCCTGGTGAAATGCCACGGGGCCTCTCATCATCAACCTGTTTGACTGCTTTCGCCTGAATATTCAATTATACGTGATTTCCAAAACGCCAAAACGCTAGTTTTCTTACTAAAGTGTTATGATGGAACCTGAACGTCTCACAATTTCTCCGTTCACAAATGTTGTTCCCAATTGTCAACAACAAGCCTGGAAGCCTTATGTCTTGTCAAAATTGCGTTTGTCAATGACAAAAACATCAGTCTCAACTGGGGAGCAATCAACATCATGTTTGTTCAGACTCCAGCAATCCAACAAAAAATATTTGGGTAGTTCTCTGCGTTGCTTTCTCTTCATCATCATCCAGGTTCAAGTCCCACCATTCAGCGAACAGCCTTGGTGCTTCACCTCCAAAGGTTTCATCTACATGAAAGGGGCTTGGACCAAGCACCACAGACCCTTGGAAGTTCCCACCAAGATTCACATTCCTTACTCGGTGGATGGAATCACGATTGACAAAGCCAGCTACAGAGTGGTGGCCATGGTGCTTCATCAAGGTGCCTCCCACGAAAATGGTCACTTTGTTGCCATCCATGCCTGTGACAACACCTACTGGCATGTGGATGACAATCAGTACCCCCAACCTATTCTTGGACTCTCGTCCCAACAAGAACAAGAAATCTTGCAGGTTTGGCTGATCCATGATCCGTCCGATGAGATGGAATATGTAATTCTCGAAGAGATCATTCAGCCGGTCAACAAGAAGGCCAAAACACATTATGATGTTGTGCCCCTGCGCTTCGCCAATGTCACTACCTTTGGACGGAAAATTCAAGACTGGGTTTGGTCCAAGGCCGACAATATCATCATGCTCCAAGATGGATGGCAATAGGTTGCCAGCGTGATGATCATCATATTGCCACTACCCAGCTTTATTTACGCACTGGCCCTCAACTCCGAGATCCTTGGCAATCTCTTCGGCTTTCTGGAGACCCTGAAAGCTCCCTTCATCACTGGTGGAGATTGGCAAAACCCTCCATCTGAGCTGGCAGCCATGGTGGTTCAGAGCAAGTTCAAAGCACACATCAAGGCCACCGAAGGCCCTAAAGCAGCCAACTAGACTACCTCCTGGTCTCCAATGAGTTGACGGGTTCCATCATCGTGGACACGCTATGGGAGGTACCTCCCTATTCTGGCCAGGCTGCATTCGACACCTTCGTCGGAGAACCTTGCCTGTGTGGACCCCTTCCACCAAGCATGTGGAACGGCAGCTCATCCCACACTATGCAAAGGTGGGGAATGAATGCAGAGTGCTCGAGGTGTTCAGCACGAGGCCGCATAGTTGATGGGACGGTTCTCATTTCGAAGAAGTTGAGAGATCCATGCCCAGCTCGGTCAAAAGACCTTCGTGAGCTCTTCTCATAGCACCCAGTTGCACCGGAAAAAGGTTCGTGCAAAAAACATATGCGTGTGTACAAGTTCTATCGTTTCATGGTGACCCATTCACAGCTACACTGCTGCTGTCCTATTGGTACGTACTGTTTGTATAATTTGATAGTTTCTCTCCTCTAAATGCTTGCAAATGAAACCCTCTCTGGTGAAATGCTACGGGGCCTCTCATCATCAACCTGTTTTTGTTCAGAACATGTTCATCAAAAATCTCAACTGTGTTCCATTCATCTTGCACTTGACCGCTTTCGCCTGAATATTCAATTATATGTGATTTTCAAAAACACTAGTTTTCTTGCTAAAGTGTTGTGATGGAACCTGAACGCCTCACAATTGTTCAGTTCACAAATGTTGTTCCCAATTGTCAACAACAAGCCTGGAAGCCTTATGTCTTGTCAAAATTGCGTTTGTCAATGACAAAAACATCAGTCTCAACTGGGAAGCAATCAATATCATGTTTGTTCAGACTCCAGCAATCCAACAAAAAATATTTGGGTAGTTCTCTGCGTTGTTTTCTCTTCATCATCATCCAGGTTCAAGTCCCACCATTCAGCGAACAGCCTTTGCAGTTCACCCCATATACTAGATTCTGCTTAAGGCCATTCCTAACGGTCGGAGAGTCACTTTGGAATACAAGTTTTTGTTCACTTTGGAACACTGGGTTTTGGTTCACTTTGGAACACAAAAGATGTGTCACTTTGGAACACACAACAACCCAAAAACATGGAAGGGTTAACAAAAACCGAGGTCACTTTGGAACACAACACACCTGGTTTTTTGGGGTCACCTTAGAACACACACACAGACACGGATGGGGAGGGTTTAAAGATTGATGAAGGATGGGGTGGGGTGGGGTGGGGTGGGGTGGGGTGGGGTGGGGTGGGGTGGGGGGGCAAGAGTTATAGAAAGACGTATTCATCGATTACATTTTTTTAAAACCGTGCATGGTACCTCAAACTCAGCTGCGCACACAGATTTCGCTCACCTGCGCGCACGCAAATTGAGTTGATGTGATGTGTGCACGACATGGCATTTTTTTGATATGTCGTTGGGTCAGGTCTCCACACACATGCTCGTGTTAATAACGTCCCTCTGGACATTCATCTACATGATGATCTCTTTTTGCTAATTGCTTCCACAGTACCATGTAATGTAACACAGATGCTCTGCGTTTGATTGATGATGTTGGGTTGGGATGGTGGGGTGGGGGGTGGGGGGGTATAACGCCCTCTGGATATTCATCTACATGATGATCTCTTTTTGGTAGTTGCTTCCACAGTACCATGTAACACAGATGCTCTGCATCCTTCATTCATTCATTCATTCATTCAATCAATGAATCAATCATTCATACAGCAGAGCAAAGCGGCGTGCGCAACCGAGCAAGCGCGCGCATGACACGCGTTCCGAAGCGATCGCATTCCCGCGTTCCGAAGCGATCGTTTTTCTGCGTTCCGAGGCGACTACCTCACCATTCCTAACCTTACTCTGTATTAGTCTCATACGTGCCAACTGCAATGTCAAAGGGTTCCTTCTGCTGAATCACGCTTGTGAGAAACAGTGTCTAGCGTGTAGTTTGTGTATGCCTGTCTCACATCAACTTCAATGTGGTCATTCATCACATAACCCCTGGGTTTGTAGTCTTCTTTTGATGCTATGGTTTGAGGTGTAGAAGCTGTTCAAGTCATTGTTGTGACAGTTCGCCTTGTGCGCAGGATTGAACATTCCCTTGCTAAGGTTGAACATTGCTTCGTTTCTATTGTTTGTTGTTGATTGGTTGAACTACATGATTAAGTGCCACCTGCCCTTGTCATGTTAGGGTTCATACTTACTTTGCTCCTTCAACCGCACAACCGATGCTACTAAGGTTTCTCTGACCAACTAGATCAGTCTACGTTGATCGTCATTGCGCTAGAGGATGTTCTATCGTCATTGCGCTAGAGGAAAACAAAACAAATATCATACGTTCTAAGTGACCGTCCGTAACTGTAAGCAATTCTCGTTTTTTGTAGCCGATTGAACGTTTCCGCAGCTACTCAGGGTCACTTGCAGCATCTGCGCAACAATTGTGCCAGAACTCAACCCAATCCTTGTGCCAGCTACCAAGACAGGGTGATGCAGCTTGGACACTCGCGAAACTTTCGTGGATCTTTCTCCGGGAAGCGTAACATTTGCAAACATCTGCACAGCCCGTCAGAGCAGCTGCAGGTCGTTGCCTCGCTGTCAGGGCTGCGCCTACTCAGGTTGCTAGTCTGTGACAGTGGGGACAGGAATCGGAGAATCCTTTACGCACTGCCAGGGCTGGGCACGGAAATGTTGAGGCTTCAGTTCTTTAGTCTGTGACATATGGGGACACTTCGGCCCACCGGCTCTGCCGGAGGATTGCCTTGTATTTCTATTCTTTGTCATTGTCAGTCCAGTAGAAAGGAAAACATATGAAAGCGATGACCTTCGATAAATCTTTCGCGGAAAAAAAGATACTTTCGCGAACCTCACCTCGAATCTTTCGCGGATGGTTCTAACAACATCTGAAAGGCTGTTTTATATAAAACTCCTTACACGGGGCTTTCGATCAACTCCCATATAATCGCAACAAATTGTTACATTTTCAGAGCGTCCACCCAAAAATGAAACTTCAGCCCAGCCTACCGGCTGGCTTTCGTGAAATAGATAGGTAGACAAATGAACAGACATGTTTTCTTTCTAACGTGACCTCAGCGGTGGACTGATCAAAAGAGAGCCCCTCTTCCACCAAAAGAGGCATCATCAATGGCAGAATTCTTTCCGAGGTTACCTCCAGTCACAGTTACGATCACAGCTGTGTTTTGAGAGAGAGTGCACGTGGTAGGTTCACTCCTTGTGTCCCAAGTTTTTGCTCATGGCGTCGTAGCAGCCAAGCAGGCACATACAAATCGCCGGGGTGCGATCCTGGGGATCTTCAAGAGTGCAACAGAACATGAAAGAGTAGAGATCTTAGTGGTGCAAAGTATTCGTGACACTGTTGCAAGAACTGTGAACAGTGAGCGGACTTGCAACTTTCGCCAGGCATTCGCTTTCGAAAGCGTCAGTCTGCAGACCGCTGACCTGCAACGATATCACTGAGAGACGGACTCTCCAAATTCACCCCATGAGTTTCGCTCACCGGACCAGCTGATATTCTCAACAAACACTTCCAACTTCAGTGAATATGCACGTCAGTAAAGCCGGACCCTCTGCGATGATGGAAGTTTCACACTTGGTGCTTACAACATGTCGCATCAGCCGCCAAGCTTTGCCATGTTTTTTAGAAGAGACTGTGTCTGTTGGGCTCAACATCAGCTCCAAACTAAATCTGTCTATCTATCTATCTATCTGTATAAATATTATATATAGACTATATAGATGTTACAGTCAATAGCATCATAGATGGTACAATGATAGTTCTATTTGCGCTGATCCAAAACAGCACAGGTGGCACCTCCAGAAAGACCGCGCGTCGTGATCCACAAAGATTGCCGTCCCCCGTGTTGCACCTTCAAAAGCGCAGAGACGTTAAGTTGTTGAGACAGTTCAAAAGGTCAGACACACCTCTCTTCCTGGACTGCCACAGCTGCTCACGCTTTCGGCCTTAAGAAGAGACGAAACCTTTGCCGTTGCGAGAATACGTTCTCTGAGAGCCGCAACAAAGCTGGCTTCTTGAAGTCCATGCAAGGAGTTGCTACTGGCAGGCGAGACAGACAACAGTTCATTGCATATTGGATGAGTTGAGTCAAGGAAATGCAAGTATTTCAAGCAGGCAACTGCCTAAAACAGCTTTTTCTGGAGCCAAAGCACGGTAGGTAATGGACATATGTACACGCGCTAGCCGTGAAAAATACCCCCCGCAGCGCGGCTCGGTCACGGGCGGCACAGAAGAAGCAGAACGTCAGCCCACGTAGACCCCAGGACGGGCTGACAAAGCTATGTACAATGTACGAGTCCAGTACGGCTTAGGTTTCCACATGGCACACCGGGAGCACTACCACTCCGGTGCCAAGGTGCCACGCGCCGTGAATTACTATTGACAAGGGAGTATGCACTAGGACCACTAGGAGTGCCAGCCAAAATGGACACGGTGAAGACGGCTAACGTTCCCGTTAGCGCCACAAACATGAACTCCAAGAATCCACATACCAACATAGGAAAGAAAGCATTCCGGCTAACGTTCCCGTTAGCATGGAATTCACACACGTAGATGCCAACGCAGCAGGTCTAGGTACACCTAATTTATATCATATATATATGTTCCCGCCGAACTTACCAAACTTAACACTACTTAACCTACTACTAACATATAGTTACGTAAGTAGTAACCTCAGTTATAGATGTTAACAACTGCAACATACTGCAACAACTAGGGGGGCACATCACTGCATCGGGTGGAATGCGAAGACTTGCCAGCCGGAAGGCTCGGCCAAGAATATCCTCACTGACCTCGTCTCTTTTGCCAAACTGAATTGGCCTGATGCTGCCAATGAATATGGCTACAGCCTCTCTGTGGTTGAGGGCACGCGCAAGAAGGTGAGCGCTGTTTCTCGGAAATCGACCGCAAACCAGAATCTTCTTCCCGGTCGACCAAGCCGAAGGCAAGGCGAAGAAAGGCAAGGGCAAGGGCAAAGCTCCTCCGTCTGGACGCTTCGTGTGTGGCGGTCCACGCTACATCGATTGCCCGGAGTACCATCAGCAGCGGCTGCAGCAGAGGACCCAGAATCGCAAGGGCAAGGGGAAGGGTTCAGGGCCCCGCCCAGCCGCTCACCAGTGGCGCGTTGTGCAGCGACCAGCTGATCCCACGGCTGCGCCGTCAGAGGACTATATCGCTCAGGACATTGCCTTGAAGGGCAAGGGGATGGCCGACCAGCAGAAGGGGAAGGGCAAGAGCGGTCAGACGAAGGGCAAGGGCAAGTACGAGCCATCCAAGGGAAAGGAGAAGGGCAAATACAACCCTCAGCCTGAACGCGTGTACTACGGTGACCGTGAATGGCAGGGATCATGGAGCTATTCTTGGATGTGGACTTTTCTTCCAAGGGTTGGTTCTGGCAGTGGGATCCTAGCTTTTAACCTACAGGTTAGGAAGAAATAAGTAGGACAGCTTGAAAGTTAATTTGAACTTAGTTTGAACTTATGGAACTTAGCAAGACTCATGTCAAAACAGCATGTTTTTGGTGAACGCTTCAGAAACATGCTTTGTTTACCTTTGTTTTTGACATCAAAAAAATGTTGCTGTATGTTGTTGTTTGTGATCGTTGCAAATGTATCCTTTTTTCAGGCATCTGTTTTTGTTGCAGTTTTCGTGTGATTCTTGTCAGTTGTGTTGTTCTGCAACGCGGTGGTTCCGCGAATTGCTTGCTTCCGCGGTAGTCCGCAGAGCCACAGCCTTTTCTCAAGTTCGTGCTATACACTACAGGTGTTGTAGACATTTGTAGATACAGAAAGAGGTCAAGATGAAGCGCCCGGCGAAGAAGGTCGCGATGAAGCGCCCTGCGAATAGCCATGCTCCGAAGGCTTCTTCCAGCAGCCAAGCAGCCGACGAGGGAGTGAATCGCTCGAAGAAAGTGTACGCATTCCCCAGCACCAAGGACTGGAAGGATCGAAGCTACCAAGAGTTCTTGGATGCTGCCTACTTGGACTTTCACGACCTGAAGAGCTACAACACGAGCTACCGTGAGCGAGTCTCTTGCAGCCAGGGACAGTACATGGCAAGGATGAGCAAGTCGCATGGGCGGCGCAAGGTGGACTCGAGGTACATGTGGGAGTCCATATGGATGGACAAGGACTTGCAAGAGAAGCCTGAGAGCAGAATCTAGATGTGTAGACCTTTAGCACAGCTCGATGGGAGAAGGCTTGGCGATCGGGGCCTTATGTGGAAAAAAAGGGTGAATCAAGGTTTGCTGTCCTGGTTGTATCCAGGATGAATGCGGTATGTATTTGAGACCTCCCCTTGAGAGTTCACTTGTTTGCAACAGTGTCTTCGCAATTTTTGCTCTTTAAACAGACGCGTTTGCAAAGTGTTTCACAATCTTGCCATTGGTAGCATGGCTGAGCAAGGCTCGAACCTATTGCAGGGGAATGCAATGGGAAAAGAGCAGGGTCTAGGGAATGCTCGAAAAACTATGCAGGATTGGACAGCGTTCTACATGTACCTGTCAGAAACCGAGTGGGATGCAATCGCCAACCAGGAGTCAGTGACTTCACTAGCCTGTTTGCAGATTGTCATAGAGCATCTATTTCGCCGTGGCCTTCGGTGCACCAGTGAGTTGACACAGGCATCTTTGACAGCCATGCTTGCGCAAAGAGAACCCCCAGAAAAGCAGCAAAACATGATGCATGAAGAGCGCCTCAGAAGCCTTTTCTTGACAGTAAAGGCTCAAGTGAGCACAAAGATATCGAAATTGAAAACCCTTTTGAATCTTCCACAGCCTCATGGCATTCATTTGGAGACACTGCCTTCCGACCCTCAGCGGCTACCAGAGGCTTTGAAGCAATTCTTTATTGGCACTTTTGGTGACTTTGTGCCACCCAGGCTCAACATGATGGATTGTTTGCAGATTGCTCGCCACGTGCCTATGAGAAAAGGAAAGGAGCAAGGCCTTTGTCACTTGAACCAATCAGTGTGGTCTCAGGTGACTGGTCCTGGAGGAAACCTGTTCAATCTGACGGCAATGGCGGATGTTGCTGCAATGGCGGCTGGTGGCTTTGAGGCGCAGCCACAGATGCCGAACAAAACCATGCTTCCTCCTCGCCATGGCCATGCATCAACTCAACCCAACCAAGGTTTGCTTGAGTTGGTGAACAGGGCTGGTGCAACTGGTTCAAAACCTGCAGCGCCACTGGCGCTGATGGATTCTACTGAGCCAGAAGCAAAGTCCCTACCTCCTTTGCAGGCAGCTTCTCAGGCCGCTCCTTCGCAAGTCGCTCTTCCGCAAGATGCCTCCGTGCATGTGCAGCCTCATGGAGTTCAAGAAGGAGTTCAAGAAGGTATTTCCAAAGAGGCTTTGCAGCAAAATGCGTTGCAAGGGCCTTCCCATAGCGTTCCAAACAAGGTTGGTGCAGTTCAGGGTCCAGATACTCCAGCAGAAAAAGCACCTTCTCAGTCAGATGGGCCGATTCAGCCGCATGTCAATGTCAGCTTGGCTCAGAGCGTTGCAAAACTCAAGGTGGCTGCGGATGCAAAGGGGGCTCAATGCGGAGAGAGGACAGGCGGTGCAGCTGAGAAAACGATGCTTTTCAAAAAGCCCGCCGCAGCTCCGTCGTCTATGAAGAGGCCCATGTCACAGAAGGCGGACCACGAAAAGAAGAATGCAAAGAAAAAGAGCGCAGCTCCTGAGAGATCGAAGGCAGAGACAAAGAAATGGCTTTTGAAGCAGATCCCCAAGCAGAAGCGAACCAAGTTCTCAGGAGGCTGCCCTAAGTGCCGCTATGTTCCTTTCTGCACTCTATCTTGTTGGAAGCAGCGCGGTTTTGAATTGAAAACCAATGCCTGAACCACTTCTCCGTGTGTTCTGTGAGCAGGCAAGGCTGCAATCCAATCTCTCATCTCTTAGGGCTTGGTGGAAAACAGTGCGCCTGTCACCCAGACTGTGTGAAGCATGTCAACGACTTGTGGTCTGTAGGAAGAAAACCATGTTGTTGTTGAATTCAACACAGCTTGTTGCCACAAAAAGAAGAACGCCATAATATATATTAATTTTTAATTTGCGGTAGCCCGCAATATGTTATATTCATATAAAATCACCGGCGGTAGCCCGCCATATTATATATTCATACTTAGATTGCGGTAGCCCGCAATATTATATATTCATATAAAAATCATTGGCGGTAGCCCGCCATATTATATGTTCATATTTAAATTGCGGTCGCCCGCAATATTTTATATTCATATAAAATCATTGGCGGTAGCCCGCCCTATTATATGTTCATATTTAAATTGCGGTAGCCCGCAATATTTAATATCCATATATATATATAGTGCAATATGCAATAGAATCTATATGCAATAGAATGGCGGTGGCCCGCCAATCCCTAAAAAGATGATGTATTTTACTAATTGTTTGTTACGGATGTGTTATTGCATCCGGCTCACAGTGCTTTCTTGCGGGCTAAAAACATAGCAGGCAATATACAGCGTTGGCAATTGTAGTCACAAATACTTTTGCACATGGGCTTAGCAAAGTTTTTCGATGTCACCTCAGGCAACGGTTCCTTTGTCTTCATGGCCAATGACGTCCACTGCATGGATGAGGATGCGGATCACTACATGGGCGCGCTTCGAGACGCAGGGCTTTCTGAGGTTCCTTGACTGAAACATTCATATTACAACGTAACTGTTTGATCTATGTGTTCATGGCACAGTCTTGCAATCACCGTTTCGGGGGGTGCTTTGTATCACCTTGTGTCTCTACATGTACCTTTATGTTCCTGGATGTTTGTTCCAAGTAGCACTTCACTTCATTGTGTTTCGAAGTCAAGGTTCATGAAAGAGTCATCTAA